CCTGACCCCACACTCCGGGCCCAGCAGCGGGCTCCCTCGTCCTGACCCCACACTCCGGGCCCAGCAGCGGGCTCCCTCGTCCTGACCCCACACTCTGGGCCCAGCAGTGGGTTCCCTCACACTGTCACCAGGAATTTCCCACAGGAGACACAATCACTAATTCACTCTGATTTTCTAGTTAATATTCTCTTCTCTTTAAAAATGAGTTGGAGAATTTTTAAAGGAAACAGGGAGTTATTACTAGGCATAGAGTGACAGAAATCATAGGTAAACAACCATTTTTCAAATCTGAAGCCAATAATACAGTTTTAAATTTTTACTTAATTAAAATATTTGGTAGAGATTATCATAAGCCTGCACTTATTTGTTCAGATCTTCAAATATCACCAAAAACAATATGAATTCTTACAAACACTAGATGCTCAGAACAGTAATGAGCCTTCAAAGGTTTCACACCATCCCTGTCTTGCCCATGGCATCTTAACTATTTTCATACTGCATATAATAGTACATTTTAAATGTTAATAAATAAATGCAAATCCTGCTGAGCTCCAGGATTTTCTCCATTCCTTTCTTTTTGAGGAAGTGACAGCTGTGATGCTTCCTTAGATGCTCATATAAACCGCGAGAGGAAGCACAAGTGACCAGCCCTCTTTTTGAGTCTTAAGAAGTCATATGATGGACTCAGGACAACTCCTGGGTGACCAGCAGGACTCAAAACACTGGAACTCAGGTGTCTCGTTCCCCCATAGGGGTCCACCTGCCGCTTAATGTTCCGCCTCAGAAACCCTCCATCCACAGGGGCTCAGAGAGCTCTATATGCAGTGTGGCTGCCGTATCGCCCCAGAGAGAACAAGGGCTGGTGGACTTGTTCCAGAAACAAAAGAACTGTGTGGGGAGAGAGACATTGTGGTAGAAATCCTTCATAGGTGCTACTCAGGTTTCTGAGTTTTGCCTGAATGAAACCAGGGACATTGTTTTTCTTATCCAGACATGGAACAACTATTTTTATTTTTTAAGTGGCCTGGTAGTTAAGTGTGACAGGGAAAAGCCAGCGCAAACAAACTTATTTATATATGCACTCATGCCCAGTGTGTGACCCTCGGCAGATCTGTAAACAAAACCACTGGACCAGATGAATGGTTCCCAAACCTAGCTGTGCTTTAGAATCACCTTGGGAACTTGTTAACTGTAAGATTCCTGAGCTTCCCCTCTACGGAGCTCACTCACTATGTCACTTTATATGGGGAACAGCTCCCTGGGGGGGTGTTTTTCTGGCCATATTATTAATGGCACATAAAGGGTTAATGGACTAGAGGTGACTTTGGTGCAGTCAGGGAACCACCAGCCTAGATGATGTCCTCTTTCAATAGGACAGGAAGCTAGAGCAGAGAGAACAGAGAAAACACATACCTGGTGGAAAGTCACCATCCTGAGCCTCATTCGTACCATCTAAAAAACCAAACAAAAATGAAGTGTCAATCCAATCAGGTGCCTTGGATTGACACATTAATTTAAGCTAAACTCAGAAGCCTCTCTTTCTTACTAGGATAGCAACTTCTCCCAATTTTTCAAAATATAAAATCCCAGTTATTTTTCACTTTACCCATTCCCTCTCTCTTTCCCCAATCCAATCTGTTGCCAAATCCTGTAGTTCCTACCTCCATAATGAAACTCGCAATCATCTCCTTCCATTTCTCTCCATTCCAAATCTAGAAGTAAAAAACACATGCACATTTAGTTTTATCAGCAAGTTAAGGACCTTTCTGCCAAAAAGATCAAGTGAGGATGTGGTGGCTAATGTTCATCTTTAGTGCTATTACTGGCTTCAGTTTTTCCTATGTAAATTTCATTTTTCTTCAACCCAAAATATGACACAAAGTAGTAACAGTTACACATAAGACAGTGATTTGCTCTAGGATATAGTCCTTGTAGAATTTACTAAACTTTGTGAAAATAAAATATAAATAACTTTATGAAACTTACATAGATTAATCTTTGATTTTAGAAACTATTTAAAATATAAGTTGATATAAATTCCTTGGCTCAATTTCAAGATTACTTCCTACAAACATTATTTTATTATATAATAATAATTTTTTGTAATCATTTAAAATGATGCACATATATGGGGGGAGGGCAGAGAGTGGGGAAGAGTTATAACTTAAAAGTAAACTGTTATTTGTCCAAAGTCTCTAACATCATGATATGTCCAGCAACACTAATATGTTAATTCTAGAATGTATTTAATTTAGTGCTATTCAGATATCTGCATTGGGGAAAAAAGACCTTAAAACCCTAGAGATTTGCTTACAAACGTGTGACAGTGGGAGCATGACTTCTGTATGCATATTTTTATTGTTTTGACTTTTTTTTTTTTCACTGAAGAAGACCCAGGCTGCCGAAGCGGAGCACAATGAACTTAACCACTAGACAGACCACTGGGGCTGGCCCTTGTTTTGACTTTTTATCTAAGTAGGAGTATCACCTATTCCAAAATTAAAATTATATATATATATATATATATTTTTTTTTTCTGTGAGGAAGATCAGCCCTGAGCTAACATCTAACATCCATGCCAATCTTCCTCTTTTTGCTGAGGAAGACTGGCCCTGAGCTAACATCCGTGCCCATCTTCCTCCACTTTATGTGGGATGCCGCCACAGCATGGCCTGACAAGTGGTGTGTCGGTGCGTGCCCACGATCCAAACCCGGGCTGCCAGCAGTGGAGCGTGTGCACTTAACCGCTACGCCACAGGGCCAGCCCCTAAAATTATATTTTTAAAAGCTTATGAATCAAGACAAGATTCTGACATTTTCAGATTTATTAATTCTCTTATGATTTCCATATAATCAGGTAGATAAACATAACATTTCAGACAGTAGTCTTTGATGATGTCTCTGGGAGACAGACATGAAGAGCAGGAAGGAGACAAACAGGAGAAAAGGGTTCAGAAAGCAGGAGAGTATCAGAGAAGACACAGATGGTTCACACAGATCAAACTGAAATGCTGAGCAGTCAAAAGATTATTTTATTCAAAGAGGAGAAAAGACATCAGCATTCTTCCAACGAATGCAAACTGCCAAATGAGAAGATAGAACAATTGAAGAAGAGAACAGGACAGCCAGAGAAGCCCGGGATGGGGTCAAGGGGGCTCTGAGAGAGTAGTTTTGAGCTGAAATCAAGGAGGAAGCTTCAGACCCAGAGAAGACAGGGCCTTGCTTTGTTAGGGATGAGAAACAGTTCTGATTTGGACCAGAAAGGTAACAAGTGGGTGAAGGCAAGGATGCTCAAAGTAGCCAAAGTGTCGGGTTATCAAACGAGGAAACTACTGACAAGGGGTGGGAGAGCCTAATGCTCCACAGGCAGAGAACGCTGGAAGCCAAGATAAACATCCGTCACCACGGAAGAGGTGGAAGAGGAGGCAGCAAGTCTGCAGGCAAGGACACAAGTCAGCAGCAAACACAGGGGCCAGCAAGGGCTTGCGACCATGGGCCAAGGTCTCCACTATACTTCAGTTGGACAGCTGGGCTCAAGTGGAACACAAGGGGCAGAGTGTGGGCCAGGTCCTACCACTGAAATGAACTCTAAGTGGGGCAATTAAAGCCATTCTCATCCATCAAACTGAATTACTTGTTTTCCCCAATTATTGAAGTACCCAGTACTCACACTGTAGAGTTTTTCACCAAATTTTTGAATACTTGTTATTGGGCAGTAAATGGATATTTAAGACACCATTTGACCCCTTGGGGCTGTTACCGTTAAGAATGAGCTATGGGGGCCGGCCCCGTGGCCTAGTGGTTAAGTTCGGCGCACTCTGCTTTGGCATCCCAGGTCCAGTTCCCGGGCATGGCCGTACACTGACTGTCGGAGGCCATGCTGTGGCAGCGACCCACATACGAAACAGAGGAAGACTGGCACATATGTTAGGTCAGGGCAAATCTTCCTCAAGCAAAAAAAAAAAAGGAGGATTGGCAGCAGATGTCAGCTCAGGGTGAATCTTCCTCAGCAAAAAAACAAAACAAAAAAAAGAATGAGCTATGGACACCTACATGCAAAAGAATGAAGTTGAACTCCTATCTCACACCATACATAAAAATTTACTCAAAATGTACCAATGACCTGGGGTCATGGTGGTTGAGTTCGCGTGCTCTGCTTCAGCAGCTGCTTTGGCGGCCTGGAGTTCACAGGTTCAGATCCTGGGTGAGGACTTACACACTGCTTATCAAGCCATGCTGTGGCAGCTGTCCCACATATAAGGTGGAGGAGGACGGGCATAGATGTTAGCCCGGCGCCAATCTTCCTCAGCAAAAAGAGGAGGTTTGGCAACAGATGTTAGCTCAGGGCTAAAACCATACAACTCGTAGAAGAAGACATGGGGGTAAATCTCCATAACCTTGAGTTTGTCAATGGATTCTTAGGTATGACACCAAAAGCACAGTCAACAAAAGGAAAAACAGATAAACTGGACTTAATCAAAATAAAAATTTTGAGTGGCATCAAAGAACATTATCAAGAAAGTGAAAAGACAACCTATAGAATGGGAAAAAATATGTGCAAATCATATGTGATTAGGGTCTAGTGCCTAGAATACACAAACAACTCTTACAACTTCACAACAAAAAAGACAAACAACCTGATTAAAAAATGGGCAAAGGACTTGAACAGATATTTCCCCAAAATATATTTCGGATCCTGGGCGCGCACCGACGCACTGCTTGGCAAGCCATGCTGTGGCGGCGTCCCATATAAAGTAGAGGAAGATGGGCATGGATGTTAGCCCAGGGCCAGTCTTCCTCAGCAAAAAAAGAGGAGGACTGGCAGATGTTAGCACAGGGCTGGTCTCCTCACAAAAAAATAAATAAATAAACAGAAGATAACAAGTGTTGGCAAGGATGGGGAAAAACTTGAACCTTCATGCATTTCTGGTGGGATTGTAAATGGGGCAGCTGCTGTGGAAAACAGTTTGGCTATTCCTCAAAAAGTTAAACATAGAATTACCATTTGACTCAGCAATTCCACTCCTAGGTAAATACTCCAAAGAACTGAAAACAGGGACTCAAGCAAGTACAGGTACACGCATGTTCACAGCAACACTACACACAATGGCCAAAAGGTGGAAACAACCCAAATGTTCACCAACAGATGAATGGATAAACAAAATGTGGCTCTCCATACAATGGAATATTAGTCAATCTTAAAAAGGACCAATATGGATGAACCCCAAAACATCACGCTAGATGCAAGAAACCAAACACAAAAGGGCACATATTGTCTGATTCCATTTATAGGAAATATACAGAATAGATAAACAGAGACTTAACATAGATTGGTGGTTGCTATAGGGGCTGGGAGGAGGGAGGGATGGGGAGAAAATGTTTAATGGGTACAGAGTTTTACATTCAAGTGATGGAAATGTTTTGGAAGTAAATAGATAAGAAGTACATCTTTGTGAATATACTAAATGCCACAGAATTATTCACTTTAAAATGTTTTTTTCCACCAATTTTTTTCCTTTTTTTATTCTGTTAAAATACACGTAAGATAACATTTACTATCTTAACCATGTTTAAGCGTACAGTTCACTGGTATTAAATACATTCACATTGTTGTGCAGTCATCACCACCATCCATCCCTGTAACTCTATTCATCTTGTAAATATGAAATTCTATACCTATTAAACAATAACTTCCGATTCTCCCCTCCCCTCAGTCCCTGGCAACTACCATTATACTTTCTGTCTATGATTTTGACTACTCTAAGTACCTCATATAAGTGGACTCATACAGGATTTGTCTTTTTGTGACTGACGTTTCACTTAGCGTAGTGTTCTCAAGGTTCATCCATGCTGCAGCATATTGCAGAATTTCCTTCCTTTTAAAGGCTAAATAATATTCCACTGTATGTATATACCACATTTTGGTAATCCATTCATCAGTTGATGGCACTTGGATTGCTTCCATGTTTTGACTGTTGTGAATAATGCTGCTATGAACATGGGTGTGTACAAACATCTTTTCAAGACCTTGCTTTCGATTCTTTTGAGTATATGACCAGAAGTGGAACTGCTGGGTCATATGGTAATTTTATTTTTAATTTTTTGAGGAATCTCCATACTGTTGTCCACAGTGGCTTCACCATTTTACATTTCCACCAACAATGCACAAAGGTTCCAACTTCTCTACATCCTCACCAACACTTGTTCTCTTCTGTCTTTTTGATAGTAGCCATCCTAATAGATGTCAGGTAGTGTTTCATTGTAGTTTTGATCTGCATTTCCCTAATGATTAGTGCTGCTGAGCATCTTTTCATGTGCTTATTGTCCAGGTGTGTATCTTCTTTGAAGATCTATCTGTTCAAGTCCTTTGCCCATTTTTGAATCACGTTTTTTTTGTTGTTGTTGAGTTTTAGGAGTTCTCAATATATTCTGATATTAATCCCTTATCACATATATGATTTGCAAATATTTTCTCCCATTCCATGGGTTGCCTTTATACTCTGTGGATAGTATCTTTTGATACACAAAATTTTTTCATTTTCATGAAGTCCAATTTGTATATTTTTTCTTTTGTTGCCTGAGCCTTTGGTGTCATACCCAAGAAATCACTGTCAAATCCAAATTCGTGAAGTTTTTATCCGATGTTTTATTCCAAGACCAAGTTTTAAGTCTTACATTTAGGATTACATTGATCCCTCTTGAGTTAATTTTT